CGGACAGAAAAATGTTCAGAAATCTGTACTGAATGTTCATGTACCTGATTACTGCATGAAAACTTAAACTTGGAGAGAGAGAGAGAGAGAACCTGGAGGTTTTCTTTAGTGTGAACAAGTGGGAGGCAGATTAAAGGATAAAGTAAGGAGTAAAGGCTGTGAGGGTGGATGAGTTCCAGCACCTTTCATCAAGCGTCTGTTGAAATGAATGGAACACAAATCAAATGTGGAAAATGGTGCAGGTGTGGAATGTATGGAGACAAGCGTTAGGGGTCATGTTTGACAGAGGAATAGCAAGGAATTTTAAGGTAATGTTTATAAGACAGTAGTGAGACCTGCTATGAAGAAGGGTTTAGAGGTGGCAGAATTGAATGTGCTGTGGTTTTCACTGGGAGTGACCAGGATGGACATGTTAGAAAAGAGCAGATTACTGCTAAGGTGGAGCATTTAGAGATAAACAAGTATATTTAATATACTATAAAATGTATGTTTACCTTTACTTATAGAGTCGTTTAACTACAATCCATTTTTTTCTGACATTATTGCCATGTTCATGTCAGGCCCCGAAGAGATGTAAAATGGGCCAAACACACAAAAAACAAAGTAAATGCTTGTAGTCCAGATTTGTCCCTCACAATAGAGACAGCTCTGATTCTCCTCTTTTGTACTGCGAGTACCAGGGAACAGTATGACAAACACACACAAACACACACACACACAGAAAGAGCGAGCAAGTGAGAGAAAGAAGCTAGTTGAGGAGATGTCATTTATCAAAAGTTAAGATTGACTGACAGATTGGCAGCACGAGTGAATACATGAATGAATGACTATAAAGTTGAGATGGTGACGATGTTGGGATGTAGATGATGCTGCTTCAACCTGTTAACGTATTAGGTCGTTGGCCTACTTTAACACCTTTTTCTATACTTTAGGATAGTTTGGGTATTTGACCAATGTCTGCTGGTTACTGTACTAATGTTTTATCAGTCCAACTTTTGATGATTAGTATAATATGTTTTTACTATTTTTATAGTACATTTTACCTACTACAGCCTAATTTCTGCAACTTGTGTTTTGCTTTCTATTAGTTCCAATTGAATTACAGATTTTTATTTTGTTCCTGTTTTGTCCCATCATTTCTTTACCTCTAGCTATCCTTCAGCTCTCAGTGTATAGTACGTCTTACTTACTCCCTTTTGAGTGACCACATCATGTGAATTCCAAGGGCAATTCCAGATGTTCTCGTATGGTTTTGCCTGAAGGCTCTGTGCATTTCTGATCGTGCTGTGCAGTCAAAGTTAAATTGTCTCGTGGGGATCAACCGAATTATGAAATTTGAGCTTCAGTGTAGCAACTTAAATTGAAGCATCGCTTAGGATGTAACTTGCTAGCAAAGTTATGTACATCTGTATTTGACTGTAAAGTGTCAAGTGAGGCCACTTTATCAAAGGGCAACAGTGTCAGTGTCAGAGGTCCCGATATAGCTGCCCACCCCCATCCCAAACACACAACAGGATCAGTCAATAGGGCCAGTGTGGCTGTGGTTGACTGGCTGCTGTGTGCGTCACTGCTGTACTCCATATTTTCAGCATGACTGATTTCCCCAATCGCCTCCAGAGCCTCATCGATTCCCGTGGCTGACAGCAGCAGCAGCAACAACAGCAGGAGCAACAGCAGGAGCAACAGCAGGCAGACACAGTGCTGACACTGCTGATGCTCAACATGAACAGCCCCACTGTGTTTCCCCACACAGCGAGAGAGGACAGGAGAGCATCACTGCTGAAAATGAGATGTACAGAGACTGGTGCTGTGTAACAGTCTAAATTATATACATACATGGAGTTTAAGGCCGTATCTCATCCACATAGCTTTATTTGGTCGTTAAACTTTGAGCGGTAGCAGAACAGCTTGTGACATCCTGCCTTTTAAGAGCAGAGGAAATGTAAAAGAACTCAGGTGCAGACCGAGTGTAAAGATTGATGTGTGACAGAAGTGTAGAAGTAAGAGTGATGGTTAAGGTTAACAGGATGACAGCATGTATAGTTTGGAGACAATGACACATGTGTGTGATATACACATATCTAGCCTTTCCCAACCAGCAGGCGTGGACTCCTAGTGGTACATTTGGGCATTGCAGAGGGTACAGTACATACGAGTAGGATATTTTCTCAGTGTATTTTACATTTTCAGGTTTAAAATGCTTGCTTAAAGTGGAGTCGATAATATACATGTTTCTATATTTTTTAATAATTGAATAATAGTCAGATTAATATTTCTGCATTTGGGTCATTCTATAAAAACGATGGAAGTGTCGTTACTTACTTTTGCAGACACCAAAATCCATTAGGTTGACCTGATAATCACATCAATCAAACATGTTCAATACATAAAGACTGACCTTCTATTGAGGAAACAAAGTTTATTAATGTAATGTTCAATATTTCATTTTAACTATTTATTTAAAATGCCAAGTTCAAGGAATTGTTTTGTGAACTAAATGCCACTCACACTTACATTAACATTCCATGCAATACATAGACCCTATTAAAAATATATAAATAGTAATATCAAATAAATATCAATCACCCAATATTACATCATTGTTGTTACTGCTACACAAAACACTGTTATTTTGAAATAATTCACTGACCTCAATTTTCTTGAGCGTTTTTAATGATATATTTTTTTTAACTGAAACAAAGCCAATATCAAACAGATGATCAATTTTTGCTGTTCTAATCAATTGATCACTTGATTTCTCTCATTTTAAAACCATCTCAACCTCACCCCCAATTTTATCTATAAACTGCTCAACAGTTTGGATTTTCTCTCCCATATCTGAAAATATTTTAATTCATATGTATTTGTGCTGGCTGTCAGCGGTTAGATCATTAAAAGCCCATGACTGTTCAGTGTAACCACTAGAGGGAAATGCTGACTTAGTTTAAGAGTGGAGGGAAACCTGCAGCCTGTACTGTAGACCAGACCTGGGCACAAAGGGCCGCTGTGGCAGCAGGTTTTTCACAGCTCAACAAACAGGTGAGAAAGGGATTTATTGTTGGAACTGAAGCGCACAGATAAACTATACAACCAAGTCATTAAGGTCTTCTTGAAGAAAGAAAGGAGAATGGATTTTGTGTTAAAATAAGTGTTGTGCAGGACAGCTGTTTTGGTGAGTACAAACATTTTATTTATTTACTTGCGTATTTGTTGATTTTTTTATGCGTCAGAAAATAGCCCATTTTGTACACAATTATTTGTACTCATACATTTGATTAAAAAGTAATTTGCAACAGTAGAAATCAATCAGTTATCAATAGAAATCAATAAAGGTGACAGACATAATGCTGACTTTAACCAAGTAAGAGCTGTCCTCTGTACCCTACACGTTACTCTGGCCTATTTGCAAATAATGCATTAATAAACCCATAACTTAAGAGCCGGCCATAATTTATAACACTGTCTTGTTTTATAAGGTTCCAGAGACTGGTTTATCTTGATCCTGGCGTCCAAGAGCCTCCGAACATGGCTGGTTTAAAGAGCGCAGTGAAGACACTGAGCAGAAACAAACATTGGTGTCTGTATTTCTTCCTGCACACACTCTCTTCCACCACAGTGACGCAGATACATGAAGCTCTGAGAACGTGTGGGTAATTCTGCCAAACAGTGACAGGTTCTGTGTGCATGTGCGCGCGCCTGTAAGTGTGTGTGTGTGTGTATATACCAGTGAATGTACAAAAGAAAATCACTCTATTCTTCAAACTGCACATGAGAACTATTATCCCATCACGAAAAACTGTCAAACATGCAGGTCGAGGTCAACTTTTAATTCATAACATCCTTTATCCAGCTCATGCCAGGTAACTGTCGGAGGAGATAAAGGATTTTGTTTTTATAAAGCTAAAGTCAGATGGTTTAGTTTAAGATAGAAGACAGAGCTCAGATATTAACACAATCAAATAAATAATTACAGGCATTTAGGAAAATTGGTTTCAAAATCAGGTTTAGATTAGGTGAAACCCTTCTGCTTCATGAAGTGTAGCATGTGTTTCATTTTCAATCATCAGAAAATATGACTACGTAGAGAATAACTAATACAAGTTTTCCTTCACTTTCACCTCTAACATTTTTTGACAAGATCTACCTATCACAGGACGTATTGTTTTTAGGCTGCACTGGAGGGAATTTGAAATAAATATTGCTATTTCAATTTCCATTTAAAGATTATGGAACTTTTTTTTTCTTAACTAGATAAGGTTTATTCTAATGTTATGTTATTCCTAAAACCTGTGTGACAGATATGACTTAGTGTTTATTAGTGTCAGTAGGTAGGTTTGAGAGTGTGTACATTGGTGAAGTTCTTGGTGCACCTCAGGCTGTGTTCCAAGTGTAATACCCTGTCATACTTATCCTGTCATCAATCTCTTTACCTAACATGGACAAGACGTTCTTAACACAAACACACACACACACATACACAAATAGAAACACATTCTCCTTCTGGGTACGATAAAGTAATGAGTACAAAGAGAGAACGTTGCCCTGCATTTGTAAAAGGACGTTGTTGAAATACTATTTTTTTGAATCACTACTAATTTTTTAGGCTTGAAAACAGATCCTGATGAGGCAGGCAGGTAGACCATCTTCATTCCTGAGGAGTGCATATTGGTTAAAGTAAGAATAATTCCACCATACATCCACTTATCATTGCTCTCATTCAAGCTAATTTGAATCAGAGTAAGAGGGCAGAACCTTTACCTCCATATAGGGTATATTTGATCAGTAGTGATCAGGTTGACATATTCTAGGCACTGTGCAGACATTCAACATGACACTTAGATGACAGGACTATATCAACCGTTGTATTATCATATTTTAAACCCAGAGGCAGTGGTTTACATCCCAGCAGAAGAGCATCCTGCGTCTCCTGTCTCTGAAGTTTCTTGCGGCTTCTTTTTTTGCCTGCCAGTCTGTGACATTTAGGCGCCTTGTGTGGAAAATTGTTAGCAGCATTTGGTTTGAGCTTTCTTTTATGACCAACAGCCAGTGTTGGCTCCTTTGGGAGCCGTAGTTGATGAAATGACTCCATTTTGCATTCATAGAAAAAACATTTCTGCATCTGTGTTTGCCTTAGTTTTGACATCTCCGTTCTTTTAGGTAACCGGTTGGTAACATCCATTTATTATGTCAATCTGTTGTTGATGAGATGAGGTCGCGAAAGGGTGTTGAGCAGAAGTGTCTATGAGAATGTGGAGAGAGGGTTAAATGGTGTTTAGAGATGGCATCAGGAAGTTGGATTTGATCCCTCCCCCCATTCTGAGCTCTGACCTCACTCCCTGAAAACTTGTCCCCCCATGTGCTGCAAACACACACACACACACACACACATATACTCACAGAGTCACATGCCTGCACACACTTGCTCTGAGGCACACAAACATAGAGGGAAAAGAGAAAGAGGGGATTAGAGACAGCAGGGCTACTGTGGAGGAGCAGAGGAGCAAGTTTGTTTACGGGAGAAAGAGTGGTCCACGTTTGTTCTGTTATAAAATGTAAAGAAGCCAGGGAGCAGAGGAGGAGGAAGAGAGGGAGAGTTAGGGAGGGAGCGAGGAGCAGCAGACAGAAATGGAGAGGGTGAGGGCAGCAGTGTTGTGCTACATTTAGCATTGAGACTCAGACAAGGTGTACAACAGGAACTGAACACTGCAGCTGTGCAGGGACTGCTGAGAAGAAGAGGCTGCTGGTGGACACACAAACAAGGCGAGGGGAAACACTCACACAAGTAAAGGAGGACCTTCACCATCATCATGAATTATTCAGATCAGCTCAGGCTTAGCTGAGAGTTGCACCCTGTGCTCCCTGAGCTGAGCTGCAGCCTTAGGGAATGACCAGTCCTGGAGAAACCGGACAGAAGAGGAAGCTGGATGAGAGTAGCCATCAGCTCAGGAGAACCAGGAGTGAAAGCAGAGAGGAGTTTGGTTTAGGGCAGGCTGCAGAACCATGAGTGTACCCACCAACTGTGGCTTCTTCTACTCTGTGGAGAGGACTGTGACTGTGTGCAGTGGCAGCAGATGGGGATCACCGTGTGCTGTCAACAGGCCCATAGACATCATTCAGAGACACAGGCGGTAAATAAGAACTTAATCATTAACTCTGGTGACTTTAAAGTTTCTAATTTCATCACTTTTGTTCTTTTTTCACTGTTTTTGGACGTCGAACATTAGCCCAGATATTGTACTTCTGATTGCTAGCTGAAAACAGTTAAAAAAATGTAAAACAATGAATGAGAAATAAATGTAAACCTAGATAGTTATCTAAGGGGAAGCCACAAACAGTCAAATGTAGCCTTACATAAAAACCCCTCAGCAGATATGACTGTACACAGGATTGTGTATAAAGTGTGTCAAGGTGAGGAATTTTTGGGGCTTTTTTCGTTGGAGATAAAAGTCAACGACTGTGGTGTAGCAGGAATTGTCAGAGTGGAGGTCGTTGGGATGAGGAGCTGAGATTGTTGCCTTTATTTTATTCTTATCTTATGAATAATAATGGTAATTATGTACCAATTACCAGTGTCTGAAAGTCCATGGTGTGGCTAATGAAAGTTTGACTTTATTAAACATTATATCTATACTTTAACAGTGAAGTTAATGCTTAATATTTTGGCTAACAGTAAGCTAATTTAGTGCTTTTACTTCTTATTATTTCCATAGTTTTGTGTAACGTGTACTTGTAATTTGTAGTTCAACTATCTAGGTCCAAATATTATTTGTGTTGTTTATAGTCCTGGGTTATTTAACTATTCAGCAGTGCTGGCTAACTGAACATATTTTTTCAGATTGTTAAGCGTCTTTATTAAAAGTAGCTCAACATGATAAGTTTTACCCTGTAACACTGGGGTCCACACTGGTTTTCTACTTCCTAACCTTAACTGAAATTATTAATTTGATTTTGTTTTCTGGAATAACACAAAGAATCTGTATCATCAAATCAGAGCAGGGTCTTGGAAGAACGATACCATCCAGATAGAGTTGTCGTAGCTGTTCTTTTTTTTTTTTCTTACACTGATTTACTGTATCTGAAGTATTCTCATGCTTGTAATTGCATCCTTGCAAAGACATAAACAACTTGTGGGAGGTTGTAAACCTTGATCGTTTGACATCAGACACCATACAGTTTTATGTTCCTATCCGTTAATCACAAAAGACAACAGCCAGACTACGGTAGGCCGTTCTCCTTAGATGGATATGTGGCAAAGGCAGGCATAACTTTTATGTTTATGTGAGTGCAACACTCACTATATAAATTACAGTGTTGAATTCAGCTGTTCTGTAACACTTTATAAATCCCTGGATCAGTAGGGACGATGTGTTTTTTCTCTCTTTCTTTTCAATATCAGGTTTTAAAGGTGAGATTCAGCAAAAATTCCAAATGGCATATTTGCTAACTGGTCTTGTGTTGTGTGGTATTTTTTTGTATTGATAATTCTGAGGATATTTCCCAGAAGGCAGTCAGTACAAATGATAGCAGTAATACCCAAGTTTCTTTTGGCTTTTTTGAATTTCTGCTGACCCCAGAGACATTTTCTCCCCTAGAATCAGTGTTTGGTAGTGTTTGTTCCACTGTGTTGCAAATACAGATTTTAATTTAAAAAATAAACTAAAAAAAAGTAAAGTTAAATGCTTTCCTCAAATCCACAAAGGTTAACAGTTCTGTCCTGGCTCTCCCTGCGTTCTTAGGATGACATAAAATTCAGTGTAATCAGAGAATGAACAAACTGTTTAACTATAAATAAATACATTCCATCTAGCTACACCAAAAATAAATTGTGCAGACACTATTCCACATACAACCATGTATGCTGTCATCACAAATCATAAATTGACCTTTTGACATTTTAATAAGAGATGGAAGAAAGGACAGTGTGGATTAAATCCATAATTTGTTAGTGATGTACATAATCTAAGCCGTTTTCCTAATATCTAATATCTTTGTGAGAAAACAAAATACAGAGCAGATATTTAAATACTATTGACAGCAGATTAAAAGGATCATTTTCCTGATGCCTGTGAGTTATCCCCATCAGTTTAAGCCACTTACATTCCTCTCTCAACACCAACAGCCCAACGCCTGCCCACAGGCCACTGATCTCATTCTCCTTAATCTCGCCTTCAGTCAGCCAACAACAGGAGAGCGTAACAGCGGGAACAACGGCATTGTGCAGGTTACCACAGCCAAGAAGGATATGAAAAAAAAGCCTAAAGATTATTTTGAAATAATCCACTGACAGCCAGTTTAGGCCTGAGCTTTGCTGTGTGTGATTCATACATCAGGTCATTTAATATGAAATATGAGTCTCACAAAGATGACAGGTTTTGGCAGGTTTTGAACAGAGTGAGCTCAGTGTTATACATGCATTCTTAAGAACCTCCAATCCTCCAGTCAAATTAACCAGGGAGGGAAGGAGAGGGGAGGAGGGGAGAAATGACATTTTTATCTCAATAATTCATCAAATCCTCGATCTTTGAACATTGATGGAAAAGAAAGCGCTCAAACTTGTGTTACGTGCGTTCATAAACACTCATCTTTGATACATAGGTAAAGCGTCAGCGCCAGAGGTCAGGTATTATCTCCATTCTCCAGGTCAGTGTGGGCCATGACTATTTAATCCAGGATTTTACTCACACCACATGAATCTCCTAATTTGCACACGCTGTGAGTCATCCTCTACCTCACACAGACCACAACTGTCACTGCTCCTGGCAGAGCAGAGCACACTTCACAGCCAGGAGGTGTTTGGGGTAATAGATGTTTCTAGAAGTGTTTCCAAGGTTTTTGGTTATATGGTCGCCCTATTATAGTGGTGGTCTGGCCTGCAGCGGGCTTCAGGGTCGTCATTAATCAGACAGCTGGAATGACAGGTTTAGGGCATTTTGTAGATTATATAATGTAACTTAAATATTTTTAGCTTAATATGGTCTTAAGTAGTTATTTCTTGCTGCTTGTGCTATTTGCACTTAGAGACATTTTGGGGGTCAATTCTTTTCTTTTTTTTTACCATGTAAACTGTCAAATTGTTTTTTGATTTTTTAGTCTAACTTTTATTTACAGATTTCCTAAATGTTATCTGTACAATAACCAGTTATCGACTGTCCAAATGCCTAATCAACAAACAGTTTCCACTGTTTAGTGCATCGGAGGTCAGCGGTGAAGCTGTCAAACTCGTTGCTGCATCTGTGTTTTCCAAAGGAAAGATCTGAGGAAGAGGGCTGGTCTCTGAGGTAGTGATTACAGGCGTCACTGAGGGGACAAGACAAACCTTTACAAACTTTTTTTTAAACAATTTTCTAAGCTCAGCAAAATAAACTTTTCTGATCAAATCACAGAGCATGTACCCACTAGAACAGTGAGACAGTAAAGGTTAATACTCTCTCTCTCTCTCTCTCTGTCTCTCTCTCTCCGGTTTTTAGTTGTTAAACAGATCATTTAGGTTGCTGCCAAACTTTTGTGTGTTTTTGGATGTGTACTTATATTAAACTATTACACTTATAATTATACTAGAGCATTTCAGAATATTTCCTCTTTTCACACATGTTATACAGACTTTTATAAACCTCAAAATGACTAAGGGGATGTTTTTAACCAACAAACAAAAGAAGCACACGCTCTACGTTTAACTTTAACAACTCACTTTAACAGTGACTCACTACATTTCACCTGTTTGGTCCAATAATTTTGTTTTATCTGAATCACACCAAATTCAGTGCAGTATTTTCTGGTGCTGTCCTTCTGTTGTGTTACTTTTCTCTAAAACCATAAAAAAAAAAACTTTTTTACTTTTAAATGGACTCTTAATCTTTTTTCGACTGCTGTGAAGGGGACGTGTGTGTACATCACAGTTTATGCATCAGGTAGCTGTTTCCCTCATGTATTTTAAACAGGCAGGAAGAGCCAGAACAGTAACTGAGATGAGTAGACAAACACAGAGGTCAGGAAGAGAATCTGTAGCTTGAACCTAATCTAAACTGCTGTAGACTGTTGAAGGAATAACCTGGCAGTGGGTAGAAGATATCATTTTCTCCTTTAACATAACAAATCCTGCCATTCTGGGCCACACTGTACTCCTTGCTGCCTTCTGCAGGGCAGTATAGTTGTCTCACCCTGTCTATTAAGTACCGTATTTTCCGCACTATAAGGCACACCGTGTTATAAGGCGCACCTTCAATGAATGACATATTTTAAAACTTTTTCCATATATAAGGCGCACCGCATTATAAGGCGCTACAGTAGAGGCTGTAGTTACGTTATGCAACCATTAGATGGTGCCGCGCTAAAGGGAATGTCAACAAAACAGTCAGATAGGTCAGTCAAACTTTATTAATAGATTACAAACAAGCTTTCCACAACTCCATTCACTCCCAAAATGAATAAACAGCTGTTTTATTATTTTCTCTGAGGTAAAGCATTAGCATTTTCGTGACACATCTTTAACATCTTTTAACAACAGCAAGGTATAACATTTTACTTTTCCTCCATTCAGTCAACACGCAAAAAACAGTCTGATACTGTTACGGTAAATTAAACGTTAGTGCAATCACAATATAGTGACACTCGTAATGTGCAAAAACAATAACAAGTGCAAAACAATAACAATAACAATAAAGCAATAGCATAATAACTGTAACCATCTCGCTTTATTGCCACGGAAACTTTGTTTAGTCTTCTTTACCTGGCGCAGCTCATCCTCATGCTTCCTCCACTTCCGCACCATCGATTCATTAACGTTAAACTCTCTTGCTGCTGCTCTATTTCCGTGTTCTACTGCGTGACTGATCGCCTTGAGTTTAAACTCTGCGTTGTAAGCGTGTCTCTTAATAGGAGCCATTTCAGGGTCTTTACACAAACACACAAATGAAAATGAATCGCTGTTTAATATATCCCAGCAGGCACCGCGCACTTCTTCTTCTACGGGGAAAAATGGAGTCGGTGGCTGCTTACCGTAAGTTGCGAGACCTGTCGCGGCTCAATATTGATCCATATATAAGGCGTACCGGATTATAAGGCGCATAGTCAGCTTTTGAAAAAAATTTCAGATTTTAGGTGCGCCTTATAGTGCGGAAAATACGGTACTTGAAAGTACACTTTGATGGAAGAAACGTTTTAATTTGTTTTTTGGGGCAGGGCTTGCTTTTGTAGAATACACATGTCTTTTTTACAACATCATATTTATTCTTTATTTTAATATATCTTTGACATCTTTCTGTACAAAACTCACCAGCTTTCTCCATTTTTTTTCTTTTAATTTTTATTCTACTCTCTATCTGTTCCAATCCCTCAGGTGTGACTGGTTGATATCCGTGTTACATGTGATGAATATTGTAAAAATCTGTTGAATCAGTCGACTGTGCTGTAACTAATTCCACCTCTGGCTGTGTCACAGTAAAGACTTGGGAATGATGAATGAAGGTTCAGATGACGGCTAACTCTGGTTTACGGACTCATCTCTTCTTTCACTCCTCTCACTCTCTCTCTCTCCCTCTCTCTCTTTCTCTTTCCTTCTCTCTCTCTCTGTCTGGCTCTGCCTGGTAGCTCCTGTTTTTTAATGCTACCCAGATGGGATTGACGTTGCTGTGACAGACTGTGACGCAGGCACAGTGTCGAGTATCAGGGCCACTGACAGGTTACCATCAATCACACTGCTTAACACTGAGCCACCTGTGTAACAAAAAATGCTACGCTAATTATCTAATTTACTCTTTTTGGTTCGTTGGTTAATAGCTCAGGAAATGTTATCACCTGTCCTCTGTCTCGTCAGTGAGACAGATCCCTGTTATTAGAACAGTATAATTGTTCATCTGTCACATGAATGAAAGTTTCAACAAACATATGCACGTGCTTTGTTGTCTCTGTATATTACACCCATGGTTTTGCGTATGTACTGTATATATATTTTTATTTAATATTTCAACCCTATTGAGATAAGTTTGTTAATGTTGTGCTTTTATATCTTAATATATATATATATATATATACAGTTATCTGTGCAAATAGCAAATAGAATAATTGTAAAATAATTGTGTTCTTGGCAACATGTACAAGTGGTTAGGGCTCTCACCTCAAAGCAAGAAGATGACTTCTTCCTCAGTTGGAACTAATGGTCTTTCTGTCAGCATGTTTCACCCTAGTGTGTGTGTGTGTGTGTGTGTGTGTGTGTGTGTTGATTGTCGAGCTGTTGTAATACCAAAATAGCCCAGAAGAGGGTCTACCTCTTCACAGATGGGTTCCAGTTGCACACTTGCACACACACACACACACACACACACACACACAGATCAAACCTCACTCACCATCACCTTAATGACGTGTTGGGTGATTTATTCTCACACACAGCATTTGATTTGATGTTAATGTAGTGAGTTTTTGTGTCATTTGTGGCAGAGGGAGGGAGACTCAGAATAGGTGTGAAGGTGTGACTGACTGGCAGAAGACACAGACAATGGTGTGATTTTTTCTTTTTCTGCAGCCACTGTATGAGTGTGGGAGTTTCCTGTCCAGACAATGAGCAGGCAAAGCCTCATTTCTGACTTTTGACCTCTTGAAAACACAAAATGAATCTGTTGGCATATTTACAATATGCTTGGTAAATTGTTTGTTTTAAGGCTGAGCTCAAAAAAGTAATGGAAGCTACTATATATACTACTGTATTTGTTTTTAGATATGAAATACTCAATTTCCCTACGCCAGTTTTGAAATCTTTGCCAAATATGAAACAATGATTGAGCTGTTGTGGCCCCCATGTGGCCATGGACAAGAGACTTTTTATACCCAGCCTGAACAGTTGCTTGTCCCTATCTGTGACCTTGTGATGAACTGGTGTCCGTTTGATGCTGGTCCACAACTACTTTTGTAAACATCCTTCTTCAGGCCTCTGGTGCATATGAACAAATAGATGTCACAACACAACAGCGTTGTGACTGTGTGAGTGTGTGTTTGTGTGTGTGTGTGTAAAATCATTCTGTTCTAATGATGAAGGACTGTGTTATGTTCATTAAGTGTTTGTGAATGAGAGTGAAAAGACAGAGGAGAGAGGAGAGCTGAAAGCGTAAAAAGCACTGAGGGAAAGACGTAGGCGATATTTTGATCTGTCATCTAATTTTAGCTCGGCATCGCCTTTAAATAGAAGTGTCTCCGTAAATATTCATGAATGAAGGCAAGAACCTGCTGCTCTGCGATGCAGAGGGAGAGAGAAGAGAGGCGAGAGGGAGGGAGGTCTTGGTGTACTACTTTTTCGCGGTGTCCCCGCCCCCCCCCCCCCCACCCCCCTGCACGTGTAGGATAAATTTAGCTGAACAGAGCAGAAACATGTAAAGATGCAAAATTAATGGCCTGATCAGCCAGGGGTTCAGAGTTGTACTCTCTGTCAGTGAGCCATCGACATGGCAGGAAGCAGGCAGGACCCAAATGCAGGACGGGTGCATGTAGTTTATTTATTTATCAAAATTTACAAAAATCACTTCCAAAGACCAGGACAAAGGCATACACAGAGATGAGAACAGGAACAGGCTTGATCAGGACTAACTTGACAACTAACAGCTACAACATTGACCAGCTACCATTCAACACAATGATCTCACCAGGACAGAGCACCAGGTGACACAGGTGAGACTAATTACAGTGACACAGGTGAGTGTGATAACACAGATTACCCCACATGGCAGACAGCAGGAACAGAAAACAGACAGACCTGACACTCTCCTCCTCTCTGCCACAACAGACTACAGATTTGTTCTTTTCTTAATCCTTCAATATCTGTTTCCCTCTCTTCTGCCCCTCTTCTCGTTTGTGTACAAGCAGTCTGTGTGTGAATCAGTCATGAATGGAGGGATGGAGACTTAGGCTCAACTGCTGTTACGTAACAGCCAGAAACACACTGCTGTCTTGCTGTAGTGCAGGAGACCAGCACTTGAGATGAATGAACGCTTCATGTTTTGCTGCAGTTGGTGCTGCTGTTGAGCTTTAAAGCCCTTAAAGAGAGCTGCAATCACATGTATGCATCAGTGCTACTGAAGGAAAAGCAGAATTTTCATATATATATATACATATATAAAACAGATGCTTCCCATCAGTATAAATCAGTTGTTCCAACAGTCAGGAACAAGCACTGCAGATGGGTCAGGACTCATTTTGCTAAGGGTCTTCAACTGCTTGCTGATTTTGCTTAACTGTTTCCATAGCATTCATAAATAACATATTTATGAACAGATCAAGAGTGATCCGCAGTCCTCGTCTCATTCAAAGTCAGCCGTTGATTGTTGTTTGGGAAAGAAGACGTCTAGCCAAAGATAGCTGCACTGGTATATGGAGTCTGTGGGCTCTGGTGTCACCGGGAAGACTGTGGGAAAATAGAGATGTGGTTCAAAGAAGACACGTGCACAGACTGTGAAGAAATGCCTCCCTCCCTCGTCCTTCTTCCTCTCTGTCGCTCTTCTTCTGTCAGGCTTTTTTTTTTCTCTCTGTTTGATCAGGAGGAACCCCCTTCTCACCTGATCGCGTTGCTATTTTTACCCTCACGCTCACATGACCCTGTGTCAATACAATGATGCTAAATCTGTCCATGCTGTTCACTCACAGCCCTGCATGCACACCTCCCACAGATATTCACACCTCACTCACACCCTGCCGCACAACTTGAGCCAAGCAGTTTTTACACCTTTAATTAAATGCACATCGTGTTATTCCAGTCATTTTTTCCCCTCTTTTGT